TGCCAGAGTTTTCTGAGGTTGGCTGAAGCCAACACAAGTCGAGCTGTGGAAACTTGTGGCATCCTCTGTGGCAAATTGGTGAGTAACAATGAAATGTTTTTACGTTCTAATTGGTATTTAATGAACTGAGTTAATAAAAGTGTCAAATTGATGGTGAAAAGAAATGGATGGTTTTCTTAAATAAAAAAAATATTGTGTTAATGAATGAAATTAAAGCACTGCTTCCACTTGAGCATGACTGGGCATTTTTTAACTGCGGCAGACCAGTCCGTGTTTCGTTCATTGGACAGTTTCTTGGCAGTGTAGAGGCTATGCATTATTTAACAGAGCCCAGTGGTTTGACATGTTTTTTGTTATTGTTCCAGACCAGAAATGCGTTTACAGTGACCCACGTGATTATACCAAAGCAGTGTGGCGGACCGGACTATTGTGACACCGTAAATGAAGAAGAACTGTTTCTCATACAGGACCAGTACGATCTTATCACTTTGGGTTGGATACATGTGAGTCAGGACAAAATGAACCGCTGTCACGTTTTATGTTTTGCAAAACTAGTGAAAACGCACAATACTGTATATGAAAACAGACTGACAAATGTGTTAATCATTAAAAAAGCTTAAAAATGTCAGATATAAAATAGAGATGTTTTTTAAATGTAATTAAACTCAATAAGATAAGTAATTGTTGAAGAATTGTTTTTTCAAAGTTACAGTATATGAGAGGGAATTGTTCATCTAACTCTACACTAAAGCTAGGTCTTTTATGACCCGTAATGTACCACTTCATAGCCCTCCCACCATGAGTGGAAGGGCCTCTCTTGGCCTATTGTCTATTATTAAGGTTTAAATACAAAATGCTCTTGTTTGATCTTCACCAGTTTCTTCACCAGTTTTTTGGGTGCATGCATACTGTACTTATTAATGACTAAAGTGTTAGTACTTTAAGTAAACTGCCTCATGAACAACATAAAAGCGGTGGGGCTCAGATCTGTTACAAAGATTAGGGATTATGACGTCACATTGAGGTGATATTATTTGTTATGTTGGCAGAAAAGAAATATCCAGCTGAGCATGAACTGAAAGTCTGGGCTTTTCCATTTCAGACCCACCCCACACAGACGGCCTTTTTGTCCAGCGTCGATCTGCACACACACTGCTCCTATCAGATGATGCTGCCTGAGGCCATCGCTATTGTCTGCTCGCCAAAGTTTAACGAGTGAGCGTGCGGGCGTGTGCCATAATGTAAATGTTTATTTTCCCGAAGTGACCATGTGCTGAGGTGTGACTGCACTATCTTTCAGAATTGGATACTTCAAGTTGACAGACAGAGGAACAGAAGAGATTTCCACGTGTAAACAGAAAAGCTTTCACCCACACAGCAAAGACCCCCCACTGTTTACAGTAAGTGCACGCCCATCAGCAGGCAAGAGAGCAGTGTGCCTTCTGCACGTACTGCAGTAAACTATTTAAGACTACTACAGTACAAAAATTACTTTGAAAAACAATGTGTTAAAAATTAAAGATTTGTTTAAGTTTATCTTTTTTTTATGTTATTATGTTGTGATTATTTACATTATTATTATTTATTTTATAATGTATTATTTTGTCTTTTATGTTTTATTCAATTATTTGCTTCTAAAACTGCATAATTTGCTTGTTCAATTCAACAGACAGTTGACAGGTGTCCTCAACACCCAATTGTTGGGGCGCAGTATAATGTCAATAATGCTCACATATATAAAGTTCTACAATTGGCAAAAGTCGGGACAGAAGAAGAAGAACAAAAATTATTTAAAGCTTTTGGGATTTTGTAAAAATGTTAATGGCTGGATTTGAAATGTGAGATCAGACATTAATGCACTTGATGTCTGATGTCAGAGGATAAAAAAAATTCAAAGTTTGATATGAAATATTTGTTGATATTTCTGTTTCTTTTTCAGCACGCTGGACATGTGACCATCACCAACGACGCTGTGTCTGTGATGGATTTGCGGTGATTTTTAACGTTTTATTTCTGCCTGAACACTTAAAAAGACTGAAATCAATATGTGCAAACTGGGGAAAAGAACTCTGAATTTATTTTCAGGATGGTACCAAGTTAACGCCGACCAGGAACATTTTTATGGACTACGGTTCTTATAAAGGAACAACATTGTGACATTTTGCTCTGTAACAAAAAAAAACTCAATACATGACTGCACTTTCTCAGCTGAGTGTCATCTACTCACTAAATAGACTGACAAACCTCTGGCTCTTCATCTCTTGTTTTTCCAAAATGTGCTATATTTGCTTCTGTTTTTGTCGTCAGTGAAACAATGTCTGTGTCTGTGGTGTATAAAACATCCTAATCTCTTCTCTAGTTTTTGATCAAAGTTTTGTCCTGTCAACCAGACAAAATGCCAAGGATGAGAACGTTATTGTTAAAATTGTTCACCACCCAACATAAAGTCCTGTTCAAAGTCTGTAACAAGATCTCTTACTTTAGACTCTGTACGTTTCCTTTGTGAGCTACGGGAGAAATTAAAGTTAGTTTAAACTCAGGTATGTTGGCAGTGTTAAAGTTGCTGCTCTGGATTATATTTTTTATACACAAACATCATCCATCTTCAGATTAGTTGTTTATAAAATGGGTTTTCATTTAAAGTCCATCTCTTTCTTACTATGGATCTGCCTTCTATGCCTTCTTATATATTTCTTTCTTTTTTCTTTTTTTTGTTACTTCTGTGTTTAGGAAGACACCTGTTTCTTGGTACGCATTTCATTTTCCCTGGTTATTTGATGTGCAACAAGCAACCTCTGTGTTTTTGCTGCTCATTATAACATAAAACTAACCATGTGATCATGATTCATGTTATTCTCCTCTCGTTAGCTTGATTCTTTGATTTGAAATGGTAAATGATTACTCCTGGAAAATGACAATGAACTATATAACTATAAAAATAAACCTATTGTTAATCATTTGTTATCTTGGTTATGTCTGCTGAAATACAAAGTTGTTCATTTTGACAATTTTATGTCAATATTGTAGAAATGTTCCCCTTTTTTACCATTTTTTTTATTAGACATCAACACACTTTATTGTGCCATGTTAATCAAAACGAACGCCAACTGTCTTTAAAACACACTTCCGAACCGAGGGGGGCAGTAGTGTGCGGTCTTAGCCTTTTTTTAAAAAGGCGAAGAAAACGGCAACGCGGAAACACGCTAACACCTATTTGTCTCCGAAGTGTTTTGTTTATTTGTATAGTATCTTCTGAGACCTTCGCAAAAACAAGTCAACATGGGGAAGCGACAACACCAAAAAGACAAAATGTGAGTATTGAAATTGACCAAAAAACTGAACAGAACTGGATTCTTTAGATACGGTCGAGGAACAGTCGTTGGTTTTAGCATAGCTAAGCTAATCACAATATTTACCCCTTTAACGTTTAGGTCGCTATTTCGTTTTGAATAGTGTTTTTTTCCTTCGCAGGTACATCACATGTGCGGAGTACACGAACTTTTATGGAGGGAAACGAGCGGGTAAATATGGTTTTAGTGCTATGGCTTTTCAGTGCATCATGTGCAGTCACCAATGCTAAAAATTGTTCCGTTTTCTTTTAAAGTCTTTTTATAATCACAATTTTACATAAAAAGAAAGTATTACAATTTCTTAGCGACAGTTTTGGTGTGTTTGGTATTGAGAATGTTCCATATAAAAGACACGAGGATACGGTTGGTGTGTTGGAATGGAAGGTGCAGAGAATCTTTTAGGGGTCTGACGAGTGGTTGAAACAGCGCTATGTAGAAAAATGAGATTCTTTATACTAAAATCTGAAATATTGTCATAAGGTATGAATCATTATCAACGTCAAGTGTATTAATTTCAACGATTCAAACTCCATTGGTCGTTCTCCAATAAGAATGGGCAACTTAATCCTCACAACATATTACCCCTAACAGATGGTAGTTTGAAAACACTTTATTTGTAGAGCGCAAGTACTGTCATCAATACATTATTTGAAAATACTTTGAAATGGCATATATTTCATTGTATTGTGTGTTTGTTTGTTTTTTTTAAGAAATCCCACGCTCAAACTTTAGGCGGCTTTCGTTTGACCACTGCAGGTAAGAGTCGGAACCTAAGGCCTAATTCATTTTTTGATTTGCCACTAGCATATGGCATTGCTAACACTTGCATAGATGTCAAAACCGTGGTGTGATGATAAAACTAAAATATATGGTGTTTTGCTTTAATCATAAGTGACATTCACTTTGTTTTGTTGTAATTTTTTTCAGCTTATCTCTGCAGCCTTTTGAGTATCCAGTCTGCACAGAGGAGGGAGTCGTCTTTGACCTACTGTAAATATGTTATTTTCCCTTTGATGTCATTGAGTATTACTGTGCTCAGTACGAAGAAAGGAAATCAACACTGATTGGAAAGCAGTAGAAAGTATCACCTTTGACCCCCTTTCTTTGTGTTGTAGGAGCATTATTCCATGGATTAAAAAGTACGGTACTAACCCAATCACAGGAGAGGTAAGAAGAAGTTTATTTTCCATATTTTAATGAGTTATTTTGTTGGTTTAAATATGCCACTCCTTACACATTGAATGGCCTTTATGTTGTTCTGTAACTGATCTGATCTCACAGAACAAATTCTGAACTCTTGGCACAATTCATTGTTCAAACCTCATCTGTGTCTTGTACTCACTGAATGTTGTATTTTTATATGTGAATGGATGTGTGATGTGTTTTGCATGTGTGCCTTGGTTTTTTTACAAGTGTGATTTGTTTTTGTTTATATTTGTTGTGTACCGTGCTTGTTTCTTTGTGTTGGATTTTGTACATGTTGCTGTGTGGTCCTACCCTTGCCTTGTGTTGCCCTGCCTTACCTTGTGTTGCCCACTAAATAAACAAACCCAGTACCAACTCATCTCACTACAATCTGTTATATTTCTATTCCCATAGAAACTGGAAGCCAAGTCTCTCATCAAACTGAACTTTGTAAAGAACAATGATGGTAAGTGTGTTTGAAAACAGAAACTCAAGAAAATAATGTAAATTGGCTTATAAGGAATGAATAATTATTACGTGTGTGGTTTTAGTAGTGTTTGTTAGCATGAATGTATATACGTTTTGCTTTGGTTTTTGTTGTTTAAAAATGTTTGTACTCAGAGTCAACTGTAGGATTCACTGTTTGTATGCAGTCATGTTAGCAGCCTCAGTCGAGTCAGAATTGAGTTTTGACATTCTTGGTTTAACATAGAAGCTTCACATGAAAACAAAACCTTATGTAAATTGTCTTTGTTCTCTCACTTGAATTAAAGTTTGCCTGGGGCTCAAACTAAAGTCTAATCATTACATGTTGTTATTAATGGGAGATATCAATGGGCAGGTAGGATTAAAAGGTAAATGTCACCAATACTACTCGTTATATTCCTGCAAAAACATTTGTCCTTAAAGGGCAAATTAACAAGCAGAGAAGGTCAGCTTTGTTGGTGAAGGGTGGGCTTTGCATATGATGGTGACCATGTCTATCATTGAATAGTCCTGAAAAGCTTGAGCAAATCTGAGGATTTGGTGCTAATGATGATTTATGATTGATTTTTGTCGTTCTTGTTTTAAACAGATAAATATCACTGCCCCGTTCTCTACAATGTCTTCACCAACAACTCCCACATTGTTGCCAATAAGGTCTCGGGCAATGTGTTTTCCTATGAGGTGGGTAAATGTTTTTTTTTTATTTTTTATCATAAAGCAGTTGCTACATTTACACATATTACACATTTAGAGTATGCAAGAAATATTTTAAATATACAGTATATTTTCTTTCACAGGCTGTTGAGCAGCTCAACATTAAAACCAAATGTTTCAGAGACCTGCTGACAGATGAACCTTTCACCAGAAAAGACATCATAACTGTTCAGGTTGGTTGCTTCTCTAATTTGGTATACATCTGTGATTCGACCTTGTCAATGGTACGGAAGTTTATCAGCTGTGTACTTGATATAATTGTTAATGTTGTTGTCTGTTGGATTGCTTTGTCATTCCAGGACCCCACAAATCTGGATAAATTCAACGTGGCTAACTTCTTCCATGTGAAGAACAACCTAAAGGTGTTAGATCCAGGTAACACAAGTCATTTTTTATATTATTTTTAACATCTATTTCAAAAGTCAAGTTCAGGTTTTTAGGTGAAATTTGTGTTTTTAAATTTGAGTGTTGGCTTAGATCAGGGCTGTCAAACTCTTTTTCACCAGGGCCCACATCAGCAAAACAGTTCCCCTTGAAGGGCCAATTGTAAATGGAAGACTGTATAAATCAGGGGTCCCCAACTCCCGGTTCGCAAACCAGTACCAGTCCATAGGTCATTTGGTACCGGTACAAACAGAATAGAGTCTAAAAGATGTTGTATTTTGAAAATTTGAGGTAACATGTGGTACTGCTGACCAGTACTATTACATGTTTCTGCAATTGATTATTTATTCAAGCCACAAATATTGTTCATTGCTGTGTAATAAAAAAAACTTTCATAGGTTAAGAAACTCTACTGCATGGACTTTACTAAATGCTTTTTAAGCTCCCACGGGCCACACAAAATGGCTTGGCGGGCCGCATTTGGCCCCCGGGCCTTGAGTTTGACACGTATGGCATCAATGGTTTTACACAGTTCCTAGATTCTGACCTGCTTTTACATTTGTAATTCTTTTTATTTATTTATACAATTTATACAAACTATGAAAATGAGCCCACAGTACAGTTGTTGTTTTTATGCTCCAGATGAGGAAAAGGCCAAGCTGGACCCAGCGTACCACCTGAACAGCACCAACCTTGAGACCAGGGAGACTTTAGCCGAGCTCTACAAAGACTACAAGGGCGACAAGTTGCTGGCTTCCACCATGAAGGAACCAGAAGCTAAGAAGACAGACAAGCTTAATGCTGTAAGAAACAAACACTGTTTAAGTTTTTTTTTAAACGGACATGCAGTCTGAGTAGTACGATAGTAGAGGGTTTGGTACAGTATTCTATGTTTAAAGTTGGTATAAACACCACTCAGTCTCCAATATTAAAAAACCCTCAAATGTCCAAACTTTGTGGTCACTTTAGTTAAAAGCTGCAAATTGCATTAGTGTAAATGTAAAAGCTGGTTGTTGGCAGTATTATCAAAGTGGTAAAACATATCAAATAACTGTTAAAATTATTTTGCTTAAATGTGTTCCACAAATGGTGTGCATTTTGTGCAATTTTAAAAAATTACCTCAAGTTTAGTTTTCAACCATCCACTTTCGTTGTAGTTATTGTTTTTAGACGCAAGGGGGTGCCGAACCCAATGGATTAATGCTGTTCCAGAGTCACGAGACAAAGAGCTGCATCCACAAACGGAACAAAGGATGTTTACAATGTCCTTAAAGGACGATGGCATTTGAGATTTACATCTAAGCAAATACTCTGTCTGTTACAACACGAGATGTTGGGAAGAAAGGATATTTGGAATGGCATAAAACTAATTTAAATCGTGTTTTGGAACAAGGATGAAATTAAGTAGTCACCTCAAATCGTCTTGAGATTTAGTAAGACTTATTTTTTTAAGATGTTTATTTTTTAATCCCCTCTAATTATGGCTTAACTGTGGGTTTAAAAATGCCAAACAATGAAGTTCAACTGTGGTTACATTACTACAGACTGTGTCCCAGAATAACCGGGTGGGTGAAGTCAGATTCTGCTCCAGTGGCATCATTACCACATTTATCAGCCTCCCTCCCATTTTTCAGACTGGTTGATTCTGTTGTGAGTCAAAAGAAAGTAGTTTGGTTGCAAGAATATACTTAAAACAGCAGTGTTTTGTGATTATCTCTTATCATGACAAAGGGAAGAATTGGATGTAGATGTAATTACAGATTTAATCTGTTAGGAAATGCCACAGACCTTCACCCAACTTCACTTCCAAAACACTTTTTTCAAAGCAGACCTTGTCCTCGAGTGCCCTATGCATTGGGCTATAGTTGGGGTGATGATCAAATAGCATCAGAGAGAACGGGGAAGATATAGGACAGACGGGTCGCATAAGGTGAACTCTCTGCCTTCACGTGTCTTCACAAGAATTAGAGTGGAGAATTTCTACCTTGAGATTTTAGAGTAGACTTCAAACACATTTTCACTTAAGCCTTTATCAACGCTGAATTGTAGCATAAATAACTCCTCCAGTCTCTGCAGTGTTTATGGTAATTTTAGCTCTATATTCTGATTCAGTAAATGTAATCTGCTTTAATCTGTGCTGAAAGAGCCTGAAAGCTTCTCCAGTGCTCATTAATTATAAGGCTGCGGGAGTATCTCCAGTCGGGGCCTGTGTTCTTAACCACACGGAAGCTGCAGAGGCTGCTATTACAGGGGAATGTCGTGTCAAATCGAGTGGCGTCGCTCGACTGATCATCCTGGATTTACCTCGTATCTGTTGACTGTGTCCTTTACTGTTACTGTTAAACCTATTAAGTTTCTGCTAGTATCTGGTTTCTAAGCAGCAGTAAAGTAAAATGTGCACCTTTTGAGTGTTTTGTTGTTTTGAATCAGACCTTATTAAATATCCTTCATAATTATTTTATCAGCTATTATTAAAAGCATTATATCAGAAAGAAACAAAAGTAAAAACAAAAATCAGTATGAAACCTCATTTTCCTTCATTGTCCTCCTTTCCTCCCAGGCTCACTACTCCACAGGCAAGGTTTCTGCCTCTTTCACGTCGACTGCCATGACTCCTTCAACAACCCACGAAGCAGGCAAGTGAACATCTCATACCTACAATCGTCAGGGTCTTAGCATTTAGAAACCTTTGTCTTCCGTTTATTTGTGTCCTTTTGTTTCTGTATTTCTTTTGTGGCAGGGGCCTGTTTACTCCGGCAGGTGCAGCTTTTTATTTAGAAAGTTAAATGCAGATTAAAAACAGGAGCTGGTCAGTTACCCTCTGTGTCCTGTTGTGTGACGCAGATGTACCAGTAATAGAATTTGAAACAATAATTTACATTTGTCCTTTTTTGAAGAAGTTGGACAATCTGAATGTATGTATCAAAGCATGTGTATGTGAAATGAATCTAGTTTTAATTTTGACTCCTATCAGTTACTTTGAAAGTACACTCTCATATTGCCTTTTCTCAAGTCAAAACAACGATTCAACTCTGATGAGACGTGTCTTTCTCTTCCTTAGATGCCATCGCAGATGATGTGGTGCGTTATCAGTACGTGAAGAAAAAGGGCTACGTCCGTCTGCACACAAACAAAGGAGACCTGAATCTGGAGTTACACTGTGATAAGGTAATGATAGATGATAGAGGTTTTACCTGTATATCTTTTGTCACAGCGGCTGCCACGTTCCCCAAGATGACATTTACTTCGTCAAGTTACGACGTCATGAGTCCTAAATTGTATGTTGTCTGTCACATAAACGCTTAGGTCAAAGCCGTAAATGGAGACATACACAGAAAGATATGTGTAGTGTTGATTTGTTAATAAGAGGGTTTGAGGCTTGGAAACTGTTGGTTGTGTGTTTATCTACTAATGCAATTGGAATCTGAAATATTTTGATCTGACATAAGACTTGTTTTCAATGGGTTGTTACTACTTGTATATAGGCACAAGGTGCTTGAGGGTTAATGGGAGTTTGGCAAACTGGTCCACATGTGTTTTGTGGACTTGTTAAAGGCTTTCGACCGTGTCCCTCCTGGTGTTCTGTAGGGGGTGCTCCGTGAGTATGGGGTCAGGGCCCCTTTTTCTAAGGGCTGTCCGGTCCCTGTACAACCGGAGCAGGAGCTTGGTTCGCATTGCTGGCAGTAGGTAGGACCTGTTCCCGGTGCATGTTGGACTACGGCAGGGCTGACCTTTGTCGCCGGTTCTGTTCATTATCTTTACGGACAGAATTTCTAGGTGCAGCCGGGTGTCGGGTGGGGTCCAGTTCGGCAGCCACCGGATTTTATCTCTGCTTTTTGTGGATGATGTGGTCTTGTTGGCTTCTTCGAGCCAGGACCTGCAGCCTGCACTGGGGGGGTTTGCAGTTGAGTGTAAAGCCGTTGGGATTAGAATCAGCACTTCTAAGTCCAAGGCCATGGTCCTCTACTGCAAAAAGGTGGTTTGCACCCTCCGGGTTGGGGAGGAAGTCCTGCCTCAGGTGGAGGAGTTTAAGTATCTTGGGGTCATGCTGCGGTTGCTGTATTCGTCCGTTGTGGTGAAGAAGGAACTGAGCCGAAAAGCAAAATTCGATTTACTGGTCGATTTACGTTCCTACCCTCACCTATGGTCATGAGCTCTGGGTCATGACTGAAAGAGCAAGATCCCAGATACTAGCGGCCGAAATGAGCTTTCTCCGCAGGGTGGCAGAGCGCTCCCTCAGAGATAGGGTGAGGAGCTCTGTCACACGAGAGGAGCTCGAAGTAGAGCCGCTGCTCCTCCACATCGAGAGGAGTCAGCTGAGGTGGCTTGGGCATTTACATCGCATGCCCCCCGGACGCCTCCCTCTGGAGGTGCTCGGGTCCTGTCCCTCTGGGAGGAGACCTAGGGGAAGACCTAGGACACGCTGGAGCGACTACATCGTCCGGCTGGCCTGTTAGGGCCTTGGGAGAAAGAGAGCTGGAGGAAGTATCTGGGGAGAGGGAAGTCTGGGTGTCCCTGCTCAGACTGTTGCCCCCGTGACCCGGCCTTGGATAAGCGGACGATGATGGATGGATTGATGGATGTATATATGCAATTTGACTAGAGCAACTAGCAAATTAAGGGTTTTTTTTATTGGATAGTTTAATTAAATGGTTTAATGGTTAATTGGCAAAAAACAAAGCCAAAGCGTGTATTTGAGACATTCTCTCTCTAGTAAAATTCAATGACTGTTTTAAATGCATCATAAAGCTGTACCATATATAAAATACTCCCTAGTGCTTTTCTTATATACAACATATATTTATATCATGTTGTATTTATGCTCCATTCGCACGCAATCTCTGTAACAAAGAGCAGAAGTTTAATTTGGGTATTCTCACTCTCAGGGTTTGCAAGATTGAAATACAATTTTGTGAAAAAATTAACTTGGTGAGTCAGTCTCACATTATTCCGTTCATGGTTGCAGCTCTAATCCAAACATTACAATCAAGTGTGTCTGACACCAGATAGTTCCAGGAATGCGATTTCTACCCTGGTAACCAGGCGTTCCACATGCAGGGTTTCAATTGGTTCCTGAGCTGTTGACTCAGAATAATTAGGTGAAAGTGACAGTAGTTAAATAACCTGGCCCCAGTGGCCCACCTCCTCCTTCTCACCTCCTACCTCTTCATTGGTTTTCATACAGAATTTTAGCTCACTTTGCCACCTGCTGTTTATGAATTAATAATTGCCACCTCTCTGTGACAGACACTCTCTGTTACACAAATGCAAAACCCATAGACCTGTTAAGTGCCCATTTGCCTGTCTCTCCTTTGATGTTTCAACAGCCCCACCCTTTACTGTCACTATCTTAGATAAAAATATGACGGGGCAGCTTTGACATATGACTGTCGGCATAAAGAATATACTTGGAAATAACTCTTGGCTGTGTTATATTCTTGCACAAGAATTTTTGTGCAAGAATCTTTTATTATTTTGTACTATATGTGTGTGTGTGTGAATACATCCATGTGTCTATATATGTTTTATATATGTTTATACATGTGTATATATATGTGTGTGTATATATATATATATGTATATATATATATACACATATATATACATATATGTATATATATGTGTATATATATATATGTATATATATATGTATATATATACATATATATATATATACATATGTGTATATATGTGTGTGTATATATATATATATATGTATATATATATGTATATATATACATATATATATATACACATATATATACATATATGTATATATATGTGTATATATATATATGTATATATATATATACACATATATATACATATATATATATACATATATATATATATACATATGTGTATATATGTGTGTGTATATATATACATATGTGTATATATGTGTGTGTATATATATACATATGTGTATATATGTGTGTGTATATATATACAAATATGTGTGTATATGTGAATATACATACATATGTGTTTGTGTATATACATACGTGTGTATATACGTACGTGTGTGTATATATACGTACGTGTGTACGTATATATATGTACGTGTGTACGTATATATACGTACGTGTGTACGTATATATATGTACGTGTGTACGTATATATACGTACGTGTGTGTATATATACGTACGTGTGTACGTATATATACGTACGTGTGTACGTATATATATGTACGTGTGTACGTATATATATGTACGTGTGTACGTATATATATGTACGTGTGTACGTATATATATGTACGTGTGTACGTATATATATGTACGTGTGTACGTATATATATGTACGTGTGTACGTATATATATGTACGTGTGTACGTATATATACGTACGTGTGTGTATATATATACATACGTACGTGTGTGTATGTGAATATACGTACGTGTGTATATGTGTATACACGTGTATATGTGTGTGTGTGTATATATATTTATTTATATATATATGTGTGTATATATATGCACATATATACATATAAGTATATATGTATAACACTCATTGCTCTGCGCGGCCCATACAGAGGTCCAAGCAGTGTCTCTGTTTAAATTTCTATAGTCGCCATGTTTATCAGTGTCTGGAGAACCAACCTTGACTAGAAATTGACTCTCAATTGGCTGCACTGCCAAGTGTAAGGCGAGCATGGGAGAATGTGGGCAGTCATTTTTGAAACAGATGAACCTATTTACATGTGTAAAGGCAGCATTAATTAGGCTCAAGCAGAGCTCTGTAGCATTGGCTCAGTGGAGACTAAAGGGCAACTGGTTTTGTTGGTTGTTAAAACAAGACTTTTCCTGTTCCAGGGATGCTTCCGAAAGCAATTTAGTTCCAGTGTTTACAAGCTACACTTTCCTGTCCTGCCTTAAGAAATTACCTTAAGGTTTAATTAGGTTTATTGGGATGTTTTTGTTTATGCAGTGTTTTAATGTCTGTCCTCTGTGAAGTTCTGAAGCAGCGACAAAAACAAGTCATATTTTTATTCAAAGACACTCTGTGTGACCTATCAGATGAGCCTCATGTGCGGAGTATACGTTGTACACAGTGAAACAAGCGCCAGAACAATGAGATGACATTTTCTTAACATTTACTGCGGGCTGACAGCACCCATGAGGATTGGTTCACATCAGGCCACATGAGGCTGTTTGTCAAGTGTGGACGGTGTTTCTTGACAACATGTGTTATTGTTCTGTAGTGTTGTAGATCATCATGATGCTTAAATGCAGACGGATCGAGCAGATATTTTTGACTGTGGCGAGCCTGTAATCATATCAGACCCTGAGAAGAATAAACAGTGGAAACAGATTATTATATCAGTGGCTGCTAACAGCAGGAAATACTGTTGTAGTGAATGCATATTAAAAAATCATCTCTGCATGTTCCTTCCTCCAGGTTCCCAAAGCTGGAGAGAACTTTATTGGTCTGTGCAAGAAGGGATATTATGACGGGACGATTTTCCACAGGTCCATCCGGAATTTCATGGTAAGGACTTTGACCAACAGTAGAAATCAATTGGATTTCAGTGTTGCTTTACAGTAACAAATGGAAAGTCGAAACAGAGCAGATTAAGCAGTGTTGTTGAATCTTTTTTTTCTTTTCTTTTTTTTTAATTCACATTTTAAATCAGATCTTAGATCACAATTTATTTTTTGTGCTATACATCTCTGTGTCTCCTGTGAGAGAAATGTTTGTTTATTAAGAATAAATCCACCACTACTGTTTAGGCATTAGATTTAATGACTTGTTGATACCAAATGTTTATATCTTTCTAGTCTCTGTTCTTAGTCCTTGTCTTTTTGGCTGCCACTACACTGATGTATTACGTCCATGTCCTCAACCTCATTGCAGAACAATAGCCTTTAAATAAGAACAAGCAGGAGAAAAAACAAGCTCCTGCTTCGTTTCTCCATTCAGTAAAGAGTAGTTTTACCAGGTTTACAGTTACAGGCCCGCAGAAACTTGTTGTAAAGTTGTAAGCAGCGATGCTGCAACATGGACCATTTAAGTTTAGTAGAAACATAATTAGGTAGGTTGAGTCTTAACAATAAACAATGGAGAGCAGAATCCGGAAAAACGTTGACATTTGCTACTAAGTACAGGGAATAAGACTCCACTTTGACTGTAAGACATGAGGAAATATAAAGTTACAAATTAAAGTCTCACTTGACAACTTTGAGGTAAATTTAACATTTTCCTTGTATAAAGTAGTGGAAACAACTCATCTATTCATTGCAGGCCAAAGCTGCGTTCAGTTTTCACTCTGTAGTAAATGCTGTGCGTGTGTGTGTGTGTGTTAGTTTGCACCAAGACTGACACAGAGTTTTTCTTGTTTCCAGATTCAAGGGGGGGACCCCACTGGCACAGGCACAGGTAAGTCAAGGAATGCACTTTACCACGTTTTGGATTACACAACGACTCTGTGTTGAAATATTAATAGTCCCTTTTTTTGGAGCCTTTGCATAATAAACAGCAACCCAAGATACAAGTCAGGAGCGTTGCTAAAAATACACCCACACTGTGCAGAAAAGGAGAAAGACACACACACACACACGGATGAGAGATGGTGTGGAAGGGTCGGAGTGGGAGTCTCAGAATAGGGGGATGGTGAAAAACAGCCGACCTTTGAGTAATTTTCCTTTTTTTTTTTTTTTTTTAAAGGCAGATTAAAGGGCATCTAAGTGTAATTGACTTTAGTCCTGGACTAAATGCTGTGAGAGTCTGCTGCACAAAGTGTCCTTTGTCTCTGTGTGTTTCTGAACACTACACAACAGGCACCATGATGGATTTATGAGGCTACACAACTTCTTACCTTGAGTAAAACCCTAAACATTGGACATGTGCACACAACTTTTGGTCAGACCTTTAAATGTCTTTTTAAAAGTTTTATGACAAGCAGCTCTTGAATATTGACCTGTGTGGGTTTTTTTAAATGCTGACAAGTCGGATTGTTGGTTACTGAAGCCAGGAAATGTGTGTCAACTGGGCAATTGATGTAATTGTTTTTTGTCCTTTAAAAAAAAAAAAAACAACATACTTTTTAAGTTTTTGTTTCAGATTAGATTAGTAACCAGAATGAAATTAATTATACTTTTGCATATTTTTCTTGGCATTTGTCCATAATAATAAGTCCATCATTTGGATTTGTCATGACTAAAAATGTTTTTCTATTCTAGTAATATGTAGATGAACAGGTTTTTTTTCATAATATGGGAGGCTGATTAATCTTGATTAATCATGATTAATCCACAGCGATCCAGTGATTAATCTGATTCAAAATTCCAACTGTTTGTCAGCTCTGATAACAAATTTTAAATATATTGTGAGCCAACTGTGATCAGTACTAGTGATACCGCAGACAACTGATGAAAACCGAGGTATTTTCTAATCTGCAAAAGAGAGAAAAAAGTCTTGTTTATTGTAAACATTTGTGTAGTTAATTGCCCTTTGTCTTGTATCTGCTCACTCTTCCTCCCCATTCTACTTTTGAACTTTTGCAAAATGTCATCAAGGTGATAAATAATACAAAAATGTCAGTGGGATAACTATTATAGCAGTTGAATGTATATGTTTTTATACGTGTTATGAACCACTCCTACACACATACGTGCATACGGTGTAACGCTGCACATACAGTACACAGTGTTTATGCAAACACGATATCATGCATGTGCACCAGCTGGCATGAAGCACCTTGGGGCTGCAGATCCCTCTGCTCCCATTGTGAGCCAGTGAGCTCCTGCTGATCTTGTTCCTGTGGTCTCATGAAGATAATTCTTGAGCATGAAGTCAGACTCAATAATGATTCACAGCTGAAGTCTCTCACCGTGTGTCTCCAGGTTCAAAGTCGAACTTGCCTTTTGCTTCCCTATGGGGACATACAGAGCCCGGTCCCTGTAATGATGCAGTCATTTGAAGGAGCGTGGCCAGGTGTTTGTTTCTGATCTCTATATTAAAACTGAGACTGAAACATCCCCTCAGGTGTGGAGCTGAACACTCAACACTGGCTGAACCTTAAAGTCCACTTGTTTTTGTTTACCCACATTGGCTTCTTAATGGTGCAGTTAATTTACAGAATAACACTCAGCTGTCAGTAAAGTGCTGCCTCAGGGCATGTGACTATTTACCCAAAATATAGTTGGACTTATTTTATTCCAGGAAAAGAAATATCTCTCCCACACAGAAGGTTTCTGTTCAGGTTTTCTCATACATTAAGCTCTCCCTATGGAGCACAGTACACTGTGTACAAATGTGTGTGTATACTCGTGCGTATTCTCGTTTTACCAAACTATGGTTCAGTTTTTTTTTTAGCATTTGCATTGGGGCTTTTCAGTGTTGTTCTTATGTGCAGTATAGTGGTGTGTGAGAAGAACTGACCATTTGTTCTGTCCACATTGACATGAATAAGTGATGTAAAACTCGACATTTTTTTCTTTAGACCTAAACCATTTTCTTTTACCCTGTGTGTGTATATTGACAATATTGGTTAATTTTGCAAGGTTTTATGGCTTTAAAAGCAAATGTAGCCAAGCAGAAAACTCAACAACATTAAATTATCCAGCCTCTCGCTGCCTTATTAAGAATATACAAATAATGGTTTTGATAGAACTATTGTCGAGACCTCTACTGTAAAAACTGTAGTTTTTTAAACTAGTTTACCTGCTCTGTCCCATCTGCAATAAATAACACCCTCTTAGGTATGGCACCCCCCACTTTGGGAACCATTTTAGAAGAATGGGGAAATAGTTAGTGTTTGTCGAGATGATTTGTCTGCCATGGTGCAGATTAAATGTTACGAAAAAAAGCCCAGAATAAATACTTTTAAGAAATAAGTTGAAACCCTGTGAATGTCTGCACCAGACTAGAGCTTTCACAGTACTTTATATTTGCTGAACTCCCGCCGCTTTAGTTTGTGTGAAAGTATATGTTACTAACCTATACAGCTTTGAGTGAATGTAGCATTTGTTCTGAAAATGAAAAAAAAAACACTTAGTGGCACAAATGGTGTGAAAAAAGGGATCACACCGAAAGGGAAAGAAATAAAGTGCCACAAATGAAGTGAAAACCTCACATTGAACTTTGTAATAGTAATTTTCCATTGATCATATTATACACCGGTGTGGGTTGACTCATTACATTTCCATTGTAAACTTTTTTTCTGAAGCAAAAGTCTAGAGCTGTTGATCGAAAAGCCCACTCAACCCTGCGTGTTTCCACTATATAATACAATGAGGCAAAAAGCCTCCTGTGAATAGCTCTAAGGTCTGGAGTCTGAGCTGATATGAACTTCACCTCCAAAAATGTCTTCAGCTGCAGAAGTACTATATTATTGTCTGCACCACAGTTGCCACATTAGTCACAGCTAATACGTAAAACTCTTGAAATCAAGAAACTCAGACCACCCCCGCCCCTTCATCCCTCCGCCCCCTTTGAAAGGATGTCAGCAGATGAACTTGATGTTGCCGAGGATGTCGCAAATTAACCGTGGCTCTGCAAAACCGTTACTTGTTAAGAATTGATCCGTCTCTTACTGACTCTCATCTCACCAATTATCTGTTTCTGTCCTTTATCTCAGTGTGATCTTTACTCTCTTTTTTTTCTCGCTCTCTGTCTCTCTCACAGGAGGAGAATCATTTTGGGGAAAACCTTTCAAGGATGAATTTCGTCCCAATCTGTCCCACACAGGCAGGGGGGTTCTCAGCATGGCCAACTCTGGTCCAAACACCAACAAGTCCCAGTTGTAAGAATCACTTTTTTGCTGAGGTCTTTGAAGAATTGAATGCCTGATCTCAGATATATTTTCATAGACTCAAGTGGCATAACTACAGATTAAATAAAAAAACACTTTAACTACACTTAAACTTAACAACACTTAAACTGTATATTATATATCTATATAGTATATCAGGCACTTATGCATGTATATATTTTTTACATATGTGTGTATTTATATATGTATAGGTGTGCATAAGTAAATGTTTATGCATGTATATATGCACTTGTGTGTATATATGCATCTGCCTGCTCTATACACACACCGGCAGTGGTGGTTTAGTGGTTAAGGAAGTGGACCTGGGTCTGGAAGGTTTCAGGTTTGAGTCCACCCACTGCCAGGTTACCACTGAGGTGCTCTGAGAATGGCACCGTTCCCAAACACTGCTCCCCTTAAAGCTGCCCACTGTTCACTTCGGTGATGGGTTCAAAGCAGAGGTCACATTTGGTTGTGTGCAGAGGTGCTGTGTCTCAGTGACTAATAATTCATTTTCTCACCTGATCTCTGCAACAATGAAATCGGACAGGATTCTTCCTATACTTCTTTTAAAATAATATATGAATTATTATAACAAAATATATATTATAATATTAAAATAATATTTGTTTTTGTTCCTGTCTTTCCTCAGTTTCATCACATTCCGGTCCTGCATCTACCTGGACAGAAAACACACAGTATTTGGAAGGTAGGAAGGTGGATTTTAATTATCTAATTTCTTATACAAGTTCTACAGACAGATATAAAAATGTAGCAGCTCTAAAATATACCCTTCACTCACTCACTATCCTCTTTCTAATCTTCCTACTTTGTCTATGTTTTTTTTTTTTTAAATTCTAGACCTCTTTTTTCTGGCCACTTTCAGTAATTGTGGTAATGTGGGCAGATGCAGAATCAGTTCCAACTAATTCATTTTACTTGGAAACAAAAGCTCATTAGGAGTTATTTAAAATGCATGCACTTACTGTACATCTTGGCTGAAAAGTTGACACATTAATAAAGGAAGTCCTGCCCTGAAAGATTGCAATTTACCAATTCCAAAAACACCATCACGACATATTTTCAATAATATATAATCGATATATATTTTATAGTATTTTATTACTTTCCCTTTCATAGCTTTGAAAGATGATGTTTAGCACCACACAAGGAAAACAGCACCATTATGAAAATGACAACACCGCAGGAGATGTGGAAACTGTTTCCTCCACGAGATATTTTTTTGGAATGAAATGAACTTCCATTTTTATTCGCCTTTGTACACACGTTAATGGAATTGTTTTAGGAGAGGCCAAAACAACGGTGAGCAGCTCTGCTCTGTCTCACTGCACTGCATTAAACCATAGATGTTAGAACCTGCAGTGTGTTGTTTGATCATCACGACTAGAAACTACTGACCGTTTAACATTTACATCCATCCATCCATCCATCCATCCATCCATTTTCATCCGCATATCCCGTACTGGGTCGCGGGGGCAGCAGTTGCCACCCAAATCACATTACATTGCACTGTACCAACGAAATATATTTTCTCTGCTGTGGCAACAACAGGAAGCAAGTGTGCTGATAACACACTGTAAACCTTTGTTTTTAGCCGCACCTCATCATCACTTCAATCTTGGTCGAGGAGAAACCTATTACAGCTAACAATTTATCTAAACCATATGTGTCAAACTCAAGGACCAAATGCAGCCCGCCAAGTCGGTTTGTGTTATTACCAAGCAATGAACAATATTTGTAATAATAATCAATTGTAGAAACATGTATCAGTCTGTTATGGAGTAGTTACATCTATACCAGTGGTTCCCAAACTTTTTTGTTCCAAGGACTGGTCAGCCAGTACCACCTGTTACCTGTGACCTATTATTTTAAAATATTGCCAGATTTTCTTTAACTAAAGAAAGTAAATGGATATGACTAGATTTAAATTAGTATAAATTAAGTACATTTTTCTTACTGTGTCCCACTGCGGCCCGGTACCAAATGACCTATGTACTGGTACTGGTCTGCGGACCGGAGTTTGTGGACCCCTGATCTCTACAGTCTTCCATTTACAACCGGCTCTTCAAGGGAACTGTACTGCTGATGTGGCCCCCAATGAAAATGAGTTTGACACCTCTGGTCTAAACCATCGTGGTTCCCAGTGGTAGAAAATGTCTAGATGTATGAAGTTTGAGATCAGTATGTGACTGTCATCATCATCAGTGATTTAAAAAAAAAAGAAAAGAAAAGAAAATTAACCCACAGAGATAATGAAGACGCTTCCTCTTCTGTGTTTTGTTCTATGAACCACGCTGTTACTATTTTGTTCCAACCCACTGCGCTTGTAAAGTCTTTTATTGTCGTCAACACACAGCTGGTTTTAGAAGACGGCTCTTAAAAAGTGGCCTGCTCAGAAGTAAATACCAGATGTCATTTACCAGACTGTTTTTACAAGGTAGCACTGTGAACCATGTCAACAGAGAAAGTCAGCGGCTGGTACGGACTGAAGTCGTGCTTAAACGTGTAAATTACCTATTTTCTTTATTATTATTTATGTATTTAATTGGTGTTAGGAAATGGCCTTTTCTCATCGACACACCGTCTTCTGTCGTCCACTATTCTTCAACCGTGTCAAGGATTTTTGATTGTATCATAATATTGGCAGATATATATTCATTAGATTATATATTAGATAATATTAAATGGGTTTTTTTTTAGGTATTATTGAAACTGTTTCCTGCCCTTTTTCATCCTCAACTCATTTTTATCCCTTATCTTTGTAGGTGTTACTTTTCATTTCACATGTAAAAGGTAAAGTTCAGTGTTATTGATAGATGATTTAAATATACTTTCTTACCTCAACACTGATGCTGCAGGTTGAAGATGTGTGGGAATCTTCCAGCCAACCCTGTCCCCAGTTCTTGCATAAATAAATCATGAATAGAGAAGTATCCAGGTGTGGACTTGTCACAGTATTTAACAAAGGATTTTTCTTGTTTCTTTTGGTTTTGTTTTATAGAATTGTTGGTGGATTTGAGGCTCTAACCGCCATGGAGAACGTGGAGAGCGATCCAAAAACAGACAAACCAAAAGTAGGAATTCTGAATGTTTTAAGATATTTATGAACAATAATAATGAATATTATATGAACTGGTTGGCAATTTCCATATTTGTACTTTAAACTGACATGGACTTCAAGTTGTGGGGGGTTTTTTTTGTAACTAAGTTTTGATTTAAGAATCATTGGAATCTTCTAGAATTTCGTACAGTTTGATGATAATTATTCTGCACTTCACTTTTCTTAAAGTTCATTCTGTTTTACAGTCAGAGATCAAGGTCATCAGCACAACTGTGTTTGTGGACCCATATGAAGAAGCTGATGCTCAGGTTTGTTCCTCTGTCTTATGACTGTCTATGAATTTTAATTTTTTTATTCATCCAGTGTGTCTGTTCACGGTCTTGACATCATTGTGTCAAGTGCAACAATTAAGATGTTTTAAGTCACAGAGGCTGGAAAATTGGGACAGGATTTTAACTGTTCTCATATAGGCCCCCTGTGGACAGTGTGGGTAACACAGTATTTTATTGTTATTATAATTTCTGATCTTCTCATCACTGTGTTTAATCTGTGTCAGGGTAAAAAAAAAAAAAAGAAAACACGTGATGTAAATTTATCGCATTTTGACTTGTGCACACTTCTGATCTGACTGGTTGTAAATCACCGTGACGTCTTTGATTCAGATCGCAGCGGAACGAGAGAAGGAGCTGCAGAAGCAGGAGGAAGAGAGAAATCAGTCCAGTGCTGACCAGAGGAAGGCCAAGGAGGAGCAGGCACCGAAAACATTCAGAGAAGGTGTAGGCAAATACATCAACCCTGCCACAAAGTAAGAGCACACACACACACACACAGAGAGAGGAATACAGTACATTATAATTAACCTTTCAGAAAACTCTACTTTGGAATTACGAGCTCATCTGTGATACAGTTAGTGGTTCTCCTCCACATGGATGCGAGCCACTTGATAAACAGTGCAGCTATGAGTGGATGAAAAAACATTACAGTGACAGAATGAGTGGAGATGTGATGTGGTGCAAAATTGCCACTTGTCGAGAAGATGAGCCTTTCTCCTCATGGGCGTAGTTTCACTTTATTATCCAGGGCATATTTGCACTGGGTTTAGGTGATGTTTTCTTTTCATTATTGAATTTTCAGAAATAATACAGTTTGGTCCCTTTCAGTTCCATGGTTACGTCTGTCTGCCTGTGTTTGTGTCTAGTTCGTCAAGTTCAGGCCTAAAGAAGAAGATAAAACTGCGATACCTAAACATATCGGCACATTGATAACTAAATGTTTCCAATGTTTATTTTGCAGAAAACGTCCAGCTGCTGCAGACGACAGTGGACCGTCCACCAGTGGAGTGACTGCAGCCAAAAAGTCCAAAGGCAAAACCGGCTTTGGAGACTTTAGCTCTTGGTAGAAATAACATTTTAACCAGTGGGATACTGGGAGCTACTTACTGTGATTAGGTTTGTAAAAAACATTGTATCTATAGAACATTGTTCTGCATTCTATTTTACCAGTTGAATCATGTTGTAAAAGTACACATTAAAGCTACATTTTCCGTTTAAATAAATGTGTAGATTTTCTTAAGATTGAATTCTTTAGAAATGAGAGTTGTTTTTTATATTTTACAAATGAAAAAAATGAAACCTCTTGAAACTTCTAAACTAAATAAACAACGCATGAGGACAATGACGCACTGAACCGCAGTAGGAAGTCGCACGACAACGCTAAAAGGAGTATAAAGTCACTGGATCAGTATTGATGAGAGCTCGGATGTAGTCTGTTCCAAACAAAGTATGATGTACAGGCACCAGTAATAGTTTATAATTACATAATTACACTTGATGATGTGACCTGTCCCAGGAACATGAAAAACTCTCTTAACTGACTCAGGGCAGAATCTAATGTGTTCCGGTCCTTGTTCATGGTACACACTGATGTGGTCACAGCTCTGAGCTGGATACTTTGGCTCCAGTCCCAACTCCTAATGGATGAGCTGGTCGTGTGTCTACGACTCTTTATGGCAAGTCTGAGTGCTATCAAAGTGGAGGTGGCCCACGCATAACAACTAATGACAGACTCAGTAACGTCCAGACAGGAGCTCTGGGTTTTTTTTTTTTTTTTTAACGGCAGTCAGAATTAGGGTTCTCAACTGTTCTGGAAAATTAAGATGAATTTTTCCAGTCAGAGAAAATTAGAATTATTTTTTAAATGTTTTGTCTAATTAGTTAATTTTTTTAATCACTACCCCTAAAATCACTACGAATAGCAGTTTTGTAGGAATTTAAATGTAGTACATAAAGTTCTCTGGAGTTTTGAAGCAAATGCTGTGAATGCATCAGTGGGGGAGGGGCATGGAGGGTTATTTTTGGACTTAGAGCCTGGAGACAAATCTAACAGCAGTCTCCTCGAGAATGCTCCTAATATTCTTCTGTGTGTGGGCGATGATGGTTTTTCTCTCCCGTGGCCTCTGTCTGTCCTCTGTCTATTGAAACGTGAACATAAATGTATAAAATGCCAGATGAAACTGTAGAAATTTAACTTTTTCAATGAGTTTAGAGATTAGCGTCACGTGATAACTTGGCTGTCATGTGCTAGTTGCTAAAAATGTCCCGGAAATAATTATCATCCCAGATACTGTCAAATAATATGTATGGGTCTGTTTTGATAACACAACAGGCCTGTTATCTCATATTTAATAACTGTTATTCACAATCAGACAGTGATGCTGTGCTTTCGACGCTCAGTTTCATTAAGCAGCGGGGCAAGTAATTAGACTGGTGTTGATGATGACAGTGATGTGCAGGAGCGGGTGTCTTTGTTGTGTGGATCGTCGCACTGTTATTCCACTGCCATTTTGCGTTAATTGTAATGTCTGCACCAGACTGGTGTCAGGCTTTGGAAACAAGATCTAATCACATCCTTTGTCGACAGCAGTGTTGTTCTGTTCAGTCAGGAAATGTTTTGAAAAACATTGTAAAACATTAAAGAGTAGGATTTCACACAGTGTGAGTAGATCGTCTGTGAGTCAGACTGTAAACAAAAGACAGGAAGACAAATATGATTTCTTTTTTTCTTTTTTTTTGGTACATGTTCATTTACACTCAACTCATATTTACAGTCAAAAGTCTGATTCAGACTCTTCTGATTTCATTTCTGAATTTTGTACTCATAAAATTCTGGAATTTCAGAACAATTTTTATTTTTTATTATAAAACAAAAAACAAACTTTATTAAATAAAAAAAAAAACCTAGATAAAAAATCTAGGTTTTTTTTATTTAATAAAGTTTGTTTTTTGTTGTTGTTTTTTTTATTCATTTATCTTTAGTTAAATTTAAGCCGAGGGCCACTGCTGCCACTGTCTTTTAGTTACATTTCTTACTCTTTTTTTCTGGAGATCATGTGTAAAAACAGCTATGGGGAGATGTGACCTACACTTCAACCATGCACATTTAATTACAATAAAAATGCATCTTGACTAGTGAAATAAACTAAAGTTTTTGTTGGGTTTTTTTTCTAAATATTTTTGCATTTGTTGAGAGTCTCTCTCTTTAAAAACTACCAGTGGTTCTGAAACGTGCAAAGTTTTTCGTCACTGTCTGTTCTGCAGAGCCTCCCGCTGGCGGCTGCAGTAACTTATTCAGAAAGTACGATGTTCAGTGGGTTATTTCCTAAAGACGGATCCTGCTCATCTTAAAAAGGCACTTTAAACCTAACAATCCTTTCTTACATCCACAACATCATTTTCCATTTACTAAAAAATGTATCCCAGTGAGCTAATACAGAATCTCTGATTGTCTGCAATCAATTGCTGCAGAACAGGAATGTAATTGTATGAATCTATGTTGGAAGAGTTCTGTTTAGGTCCTTGTTGCTCTGGTGGAATGGTGGGATTGCTGATAGCACCCTCGTGACACATAACCCATAATTTATTGGCTGCTTGGTTACGATCCTGATGCTGCACTTCTTCAGCCTTGTTATTCAACTGTGGTCTTGGCAGCAGTCACCAGGCCTTAGGTTTTACCTGAATGAATGGAGTGTCCTAATGAAAACCGTGCAGTGTCTGAGGTGGAAACTGAAGTTTTTTGTCCTAAGTTACCGTACTTTGTACATCTGAAGTGCTGAAATGAGCTGCGGTGCCTGGGAAAATATTTAGTTTTCTCACTGTACGTCCAGTGGAGCCGCCGAGACACTGAAGATACTAATTCAATGAATAATTGATGGCTGTGGTTCTTACAAGAATTAGATGGGTGACCTGAAACTGGAAACTCACAAGTAACTCTAGACTGTATGATGCTCACGTAACGTACACAAGTGTTCAGGTCAAGATATGTCTATACATACCTGCAGAGAGTAGAGTTCAATAGTATTTTTTTTTTATATTGTTTTTGTTAATTTTCAGGGAGACCATTTAACAAGTCAATTTTATTTGTATATCTCAAACTTCACAAACACATTTGTAAATGAATGGATTTACAGTTTAGAAATTAAAATTAAAACTACAAATATCCTAAAAAACCATACAAAAAGAGATAAAAATGGAGAAATGTAAACTCGATGTAGAAATATCGACTGAAAGCCTACAGACTCCGATAACCTATTTTAAGCCACAGCACCATCCATCCATCCCATCCATCTTCAACCGCTTATCCGGGGCCAGGGCGCGGGGGCAACAGTCTGAGCAGGGACACCCAGACTTCCCTCTCCCTCGACACTTCCTCTAGCTCTTCTGGGGGACCCCAAGGCGTTCC